TTTTTTTTTTTTTTTTTTTTTTTTTTTTTAGTTTATTATCATCTACAATTATCTTGACTAATAGCAAGATAAAATCTTTATCTTGAAAAGTGGCAGATCGTTACTATTAATCTATCAACTGATTTGTTTCAGTTATAAAATTACAACCGTTCAAGTAAAACAGTTAATCCAGAAAGTCTTGAAATGCAAGCAATCAATTATACCACAAATCGTCAAGTTGCCATCATTATAATTCAGTGAAATTGGATAAAACGTTTGGAATATCTTTTCTTTGCCAAGAAATCGAATAGGTAAACCATTGCTACAATCTCTCTTATTCATTTTATCTTCGGTTGTTCTTTTTCAACGTTGCGTTCTCACAGACGAAAGAAAAAAGTACAAATGAACGTGGCTGTATTTCAAGCGAAGCTTTTCGTTGCCTGAAGGAAATCCTAGATCGTAATCTTAACGCACCAAAGTAGCCAGTTTTATAGAACGTAAATCTCGGATATGTGTATAAATTTTTCATCGAATTCAAAGTATAAATATATAGAGAAAGAGAGAGAGAGAGAGTATAAATACGAGTGATTAATAATTTATTAACTTTGCAAAAGTATCAAATTTATTGTAATTACTTAAATGTGATTATTAATTTAGATATTCAAATATCATGGGAACCAAATATCAGTTGGAATATTTAGTAACATTTAATATATATATATATACAGAATAGAATGTAATATAATAGAAGATTTAGATAATATTACATTAGAAAATTATTGATAATAATAATTTCAGTGAATATTAATTAAACCTTTGTGTTAATTAATAGTGTCCTGTTATAATCCTGTTGTGATCAAATTGTAATTGAAATTTGTTTTTCTTTTTTTCCTTTTTTTTACATTTCAATATAATTATATTCAATAAATTCTTTATAAGTGTCTATAAATAATAATAATAATAATAGTATTGTTTCGAAAAATAACAGAAAACATTTAAAGCTCTTGTCTTTCGATCATTTATTGCATATAGAAGATTTTTATTATTTTATTATTTTTTTTTTCTTTTTACTATAAACAATGAAAAATCCAGGATTTTAATTTTAACCTCCGTGGCGCGTCGAGTTCGGTTTGCGAGCTGGGATCGCAAAAAAAAAACAAAAAAAGGAAAGAGAATAAAAAAAGTAAAGATAGATGTACGCGTAACAATGGTAGGTCCTAGTTGAAATGTGGTTTTGATAAACATTTGCAAATTTAATTCATCATTTTTGATTTAAACGTTTACGTTCTCATAATAATTTTGTAAACCTATACACCACACTGATTCCCAAACTTATTAAATTTTCGGTGCTTTAGCTAAATCAACATTTCCATTTTTACAAATAAATAAAATACATTTTCAATCAAAAGAAAATACAAAATTGAAAAAAATTTAAATAGAATAATTTGAATTAGAATTAGAATAATCTTTCTTTGCTAACCCCGAAGGGTTACAATTCTTCTACATTCCCTTCAACCTCCTCCTATCCTTCTTTACCCCTCATCTCCCGCCTTTCGAGCCTCCGTACTCTTCTCCTTCAACCAAACTTTGTTCCTCTCTTCCCTCTCTCCAACTCTCCACCCTCTTCGAAAAAATTGAAATAATTGTAATAATTAAAATGGATCAGCCTGTTGGTATTTGTACATTTTCTTCTCAAAATCATAGAATTGAATTGGACATAGGTTTGTTTTCTTCATTACATTGATCTTTGTAAATTCAGTTTTGCACAAATGGTAAGTCCCAAATGGAATGAAAATTATGAAAAATGTAGAATATTTCGTGACGTTCCTGTAAAGGGAGTTATAAAGTTACATGGGAACCACTGGCCTATATCATTGACCCTCTGATGTGAATATCAAAGAAATTTCTCACTTCCCTCATAATCAAATATGGGCGTTTCTACGCATAGCGGCACATGTACCTACTAAAAATAGAATGACACAAAAAGTAACTCAAATATTTTATTCTCTTCTCTTTCATTTTCTTTTTCTTTTATCTTTCCATTAATTTCTAAGTGATCCTTTTACCTATTACTGTTTATAACGTTAAATAATAATACTTAAATTTCTAACCTACTTAACCTAACTTTTTTTCTATTGTCTTTTTATAATTCTATAATAATAATAATAATACTTAAATTCTCGCATAGTTGATTTTATTGACATACGGCCATTGATTTTTTATACAAGTGATAATTATGGAGGGTACAGGGTAAGGAGTAAAATCTCTTATGGAAGAAAATGTGAAAAAAGTGTTCAGCATTTTCTGTCAATAACAGTTGAAAAACCTTCCAGAATGGCGCTGGTGTAGATGCTTGATATGGTATGAATGTAGCAATTGTAAATGTATTGTAATTGTTTATTTTTTAATACTACTCTAATAATATTTGGCGCTTCCCTTAAAATTTACCATGATGCTAATGTGGCGCCACCTCAATTGATTCGATTTCAATGGATACTTTTCATATACAGAGATGTTATTCCTTACTTCTAACCTCCATAGTGATAATGAAAAAAATAAAAGAACAAATGAACATTAATTAATCAATGATCAACTTGAATTTGATTGGTTTAACCCCCACTATACTCACAAATAGATTTCTCAAGTGGTTCGGAAAGTCGTTACGTTTTTTGCTGACGTAATAATGGCATTAGTTGATGCAAACCGACAAATAGTAACACATGAGATCGATGAGAGGTTAAATTAATCAAATTCAACTAATTATGACTACTTGAAAGCTTTAGGTTTAATCTCGAAGCAAAAATGATCTTCATTTTTACAAAAGACAAACGAAACTTTCGACTTTTCGAACCACCTAATAGTATCAACTTTGGTAAACATAAAAGAGGATTAAATAATGAGATAAAATTTAAATAATTTTTTAATTTTAGATATTGTAATTAGAGTAGAGAATAGCGAACTTTAAAATGTGCGTTATAATATTCGTCGAATTACATTATTTTCTCTTAAAGTTGAAATTATTCATGTAAAATGTAAAAAATAAATGATATTAAATATCGTAATTAGTATAGCTTAAATTTCACATTTCATATTGCAGTCTACCGATAGATTGAAATTCTATTAGAAAATCTAAAAATTTATTTATATATAAAAGAAATTCTCTTGCAGCAGACATTTTACGAAATATCGAAAAAAATATCGAATTTTAGAAAAGAATATCGATGAAAGAAATGCAAACCGAGAAAAGAATAAAAATTACGAGACAGTTCAGACTTGTGTTGAATTTTCTTGATAATATTCTCAAAATCATTATTATACTTTTTTCTTGTTTTTTTTTTTTTTTTTAGATTTATACAACAGGTGTAAACTTTTAAGAAAAATACTTTAAACCTTTATTTTATTATACTGCATCGCTTGATGATGATATTATATACATCGTTGCATAATTTCGATTGGAAGCGTTATTTATCAGTGACAAACTTTCTAAGCTCTACTAAATAGATGATGATAAGAAAAAAAAAAAAAAAGAAAAAATATTCTAAACAAGCTTATATTAAGAAGTAATTTAAATATTGAAATTTTAATACACTTTCGTAATAATAAATGACGACGTTGGAAACCATAATTATCGATTAAGTTACGAAGTATTATCTAACTTATGCGAAATTTCAATTTTCCCATAAATTATTATTATCAATCTGTTAAAGGGATACATTTTCCGATATATTTCTAATATTTTACAATCCGTCATAGTTTATGCGTCTATCAAACGTATAATAATATATGTTTCTTTCAAAGTTTGCACAAATTGTATAAGTTTAAAAGAAATTATTATTATTATTATTATTATTATTATTATTAAAATAAAATATTATACACTATACGTTTAAAATAATTGAATATCTTTTGAACTGATTAAACCTGATTTAAAAGTTAATAATAATCTCATTGCAAAGAACAATAGTATTCATTAATTAGCATTTAAAAAAAATGTATTTTACTTTAATCAGTTTCTATCTGCATACACATACATAGACATGGATATAGTCATGGATATAAATCTGCCTTTTGAAGAAGGAACTCAGCCGAATCTAAATATCAACGAATACCATTTGGTTGGCTAGCTAGCTTGCTAGTTGGTCGATTCGATAGCCTACTGGTTGGCTTTGCTGGGCGCTTGGTTGGCTGAATGCCGACTTGAAGACAGATCGATGCTATGTATATAACTTTAATGGTCCTCCACTGGATTTTAATATTTTATATCTTTGTAACTTTCCCTTTTCGAATTTTTATTTTTTACTGCTTACCGTGATTTATTTTATTGCCGACAAAATAAAATTGATGTATATATATATATATATATATCTTAATACAAATTTTATTATAAAAATATAACATTATATTTAATAAATATATAATAAATATAATAATAATTAATAATAATAATAATAATAATAAAAATATATATATATATACATAAATTTGAATTTATATATTTATATAAATTTTATATATTAAATTGATATTTAATTATTTCAATATAATATTTAAATAATTATATTATATTATATTATATTATATTATATTATTTAAATATATAAATTTAAATAATTCGTTATTTTTGCCGGTACCCATGTCAGTCGCGAATGTGTTAATAGATTTATTATATTGTATACCATGTGCACACCATTATTATTTTAAATTTTTCCTATATACACAAACTGAAGAAGATTTAATAATCTATCTATTTATCTAACTATATATATATATATAAAAGTTTAATTTAATGAATTTTTTTCTCAACTTTAAAACTCCTGTTTTTGAGAAAAGAAATGAGGAATTTCAAAAGGAAACATTTAACACACCAAAGTTTAATAAAACACGTTCAAGCTCGCTAAATTTACTTTTTTGTTTTTTTTTTTTGTTTGCAGCACATACGTTTATACAATATTCGTTTATCTTCTTTGAAATGTTTTTT